TTTAAGTGTCATACAAGTGTCATACAATAGTTATTCAAATTCAATACCTAGTAAGATGGTTTTAAAATATATTTACTCATTTTATTATATAGGATTGTAAGTCAAGGAACTTAACAAGCAGAGACCAAAAATTTAAATAACTGAAACTTGATATTAAAATCTCTAAAAGTTCAAAATATAACAATTGTTCATGCACTAATATCGGCTTAGAACTATAATATTTTGTGTATAGTTGGATTTTGGAATAGAGTGTAAAATTAAAAAATATAGATAAGCATATTATAAACAAATAATTTTTAGTGGTTATACAAATAATGTGTATACTCCGTACAAAAAAGTACAATTACCAACGTCTGCGTTTTTTTATCGCACAAATGGTAATTCACTTTAATATTACTATTTATAAGACGTAAATCGTTTTTTTAAAAGCGATTTGTCGTTGTGTACGATTAATTTAAAAAAAATTAAATTTCGGATGGTGTTTGGTGGTGTAGAGAGGGTAAGGTTAAATTAGGTTTATGAGTAAAATCTTTTAACTGTTTAACTTTCATTTATAGACAACGCATATTGGAAAACAATTTCCTCATATTAATTAGGTATTTAAATATACTTTACTCATATGTCATAGCAGGGGCGTGCTCACGGGAGAGGGATGAGAGTGTTATATCCCCTCCCCATGAACTTTTTTTATGCATTTGTTTGAAGTTCCTTGATAGTTTAGGTTTTCTCGAAAACAAAAAAAAAAGGTAGTGCATAATGTCATAGTTGGTTTAAATTATCATACAAATAAAATATGTTTATTAGATACTATAGTAATAGTAATTACTATTATGCATTTATTTATAGATAATTATTTATAGACAATGCAAATACATACATATTATAAAAAAAAAGGTACCAATGGACTATCATAATAGATAAATTATCTTGTTGGAAAATTTAGCTCTAATTTTGCAATTGGTACCGTTTGCCAGCACTAATTTAGCACTCAATTTTGACAATACAGTGGATTTTGGTGCTGGTAATGCTTTCGCTGTGGACAATTTTGGAAAATCTAATATCTCGTTGGAAAATTGAGCAATCATTTTGAAAATTGTACAGCTCGCAAGCATAATTCAACACTAAATTCTGGTAATACGGAGAATGTTGATGCATGTACTTTGTCCACTACAATGAAGTTAGTGGACGGAAGATAAGCACCCGTGTAACTTTTTTTTGATCAGAGCACTAATTTTAAAAATATTACCGTTCACCAGCACTAATTTAGCATTAAATATTGGTACTTAAAAGAAAATTAGTGCTCAATGTCCCAGTGTTCACGGACCTTTTCTCAACCCAGATGAAGTAGAAAATACATTTGTATTTGACCTAATGTCTTGTGATGTTTCAAATAACTCAGAAACGTTTAAATTTGCAACTTATTTAAATGGATAACTATCTTATGAATTAATACTTTATTTCTTCCTCGTGTATGAGCAGATTTTCTAAAAAAAATAAATAAGTATTGTAAATAATTAAATAATTATTAAATATTATTCATTTAGTAATTTTAATTATTAAATTTGTATTTATATATATATGCATATACTAGCTGTCCCGCCCAGCGTTGCCAATTTTCTATTGTTTTTTTTTACCCCTATTCCTTTTTAGTTTTTGACCATGTGAATAATAAATGAGTAATGAACAAGTGGAAAGTGGGTAGTCCACCTTCGGCGGAATAAATGTTCTATTATGACATGATTTTCATACGATAAATAACGAAACCTCGATTATTTTTTTTTAAATGGGGAGGGTTGATGGATTTCAAAGGAAGTTAAACCTAATCTAACTTATCAGGGAGTGGAGACGCTTGACAGCGGGAAAGCGCGTGTACCGTACTATGGTTAATTGTCGTTCGTAAACGGCACGGTGTTTGTTTTATACCTTCATGTGAATATTAGCCGATAATTTATATTAATAAAAAGTTAATAATTCAGATGTTAATCTGTATATATAAAAATGGATCGATATTTTGTCGGTGATGCCTTAACTTGAATATCATCTAAATTTCAAACTTTTCCGGTAGATTTTCCAAAAATCGTCTTTCATAATAACCTTATGAATACACGAAAAAAAAATCAGGCATATCGGTTCGTCCGTTTTCAAGTTATGGCGTCGGCGAAAAAATATCAATTCATTTATACACACCTATATAATATATATGTGCGTATTTGCCAATATATTCAAATTTATATTTAAAAAAATAATATCTCGATTGTATCACTCTCTTAGCGTCCTCTGATCTGAATCTTTATTTATTCATTTTCATCAGAATGAATATTTAAAATTTTGGGACAACTTACACGAAATATCTTACTGATTATTCATTTTTTTGTTTTTTAATTTCATCCGTATCACCAAAGTAACCCATAAAACAACAAAAAAAATCACTGTACTAAAAATACCAATTACTTTGTGTCAGCTACTCTTGCAATGCCACCTATCGGGTCCAATTGTAAATCTAAACCATCCAGGACCAATTCAAACACACATACAAAATTTCGTCAAAATCAGTCCAGCCGTTTAGGAGGAATTCAGTGACATATACACGTACAGTAGAATTATATATATAAAGATTTTATTTTTATATTTAATGAATTATTGAATATAATCTTAAGTGTCTAACGGACCATTATTTTAGCACAGAAGTATATTACAATATTGATTTATTATAATATAATTACGTAAGTAAGTAGATTATTAAATTTAAAAAGACAGATATACTTTTATGTGGGTATTAAAATTAACAATTATGATAAATGACGTGGCGTAATTAAGAATGACCAAGAGATTAAACCATCTCCTTAGCCTTTTTATCGATTCTATTGTTTACATTTATAGCTATTTTAGATTCTGAGTAGAACGAAGACAACAAAGATGTTTATTTTAATTTATTTCTTTTCTGTGGATATCTTTTCTATCAACAATTTTGCTTCAATTAATAATGAAAGCAAATTTTCCAAAAGAAAATTTCACTGTGAAGGTACTTTAAAGGAATCATTTTTCGAATTTCTCAGGAGTTTTCTGATCAAATTTGAATAACTGAAAAAAACGGAGGAAAAACGAAGGAAAACTGAGAAAATCGGTACAACATTAAACAAAGATATAAAGAAAATATTTAATGCTTAGTTAATTATTTTATCATAATATGACATTTATATTATTGAAAATGCATCATTATCAACTGAACTCTGTTCAAAATCGTTTTTAGTTAGCAATGGTTAATTGTTGCTAACAGATATATATTAAATTACCTATATCAGTGGCAACACCCGCTCCCATTATTCTAAGACATCTTTTTTTTTTTGTAAATTCTAATTTTATTACTTTATAATCTGTCAATTTAGGCACGTATATAGGCCGCATATTTTTCAAAAGCGAGCCGAGCTTAATAGGCTATACGTATAAGTTACTTATATTTCGATAGGCTTAGGTAACATAAATTAGTAAACGATGTGCCAGGCCAGGCTTTTCAGTCAGAAAGTGGGTATGGGTAAGCGTAGCAACTAGTGAACGAAAAACAAAATTTTAATTAAAAGTTAACTATTACAAATATAATAATAATTAAAATAATAGGTCTCTGATAAACCTTGATTTTCAATTAGGGGGAGAGGGTATATAGACTGCGGGACATTTCTAATCGTTGAACAGGTCGGGCTGGGATTACAAACGTTTAAGCTCGTGCTTAGAGCAATATCACCCGTAGATTGTTTTATTTACGAGGACGTGACTCTCGCCGTGTAGGCCAAAATTTGGATTTGTCGGGAAAAATACACAATCGCGGTGACGGCGAAAGAATATTTTCGTGGTATTTTATGGGTTCCTTCCTTGGGCATCGCCTACGACGCATGACGTCATTCACGTACTATTCAGCCGTCTCCAGTCTACAGGTGTGCTACTCGCGTTCGTCGCACGTACCGTTTCCACCGTCGCCGACCACTCGCAGATTCGGGAATTCCAATACGGTCCGGTCCAGTCAGCCAACCGTTACCCGATTTTCCGATACAGTCGACGGAGGCAATCCGCCACTCGCGATCCGTCGTTGTATTTCGAAATTGATGTTAGCATAATTAAGCTAATTCGGAATTTCGGGCTTTGGGTTTTCTTTTATTACTACTATTACTATTATTTTTGTTTTCCAAAACATACAGGTGTAATAATAGGTAGGTTATATCATTGCCACGTAATATAGGTATACTCAGAAAACAGATTAAGGTTAAAATACGTTGGTTTTAGTTCAGTGCCATACACTAACATATTAATATCCTTCATATCCTATACCAAAAGGTTCTCAGAAGGATACGAGGAAAAATCATAATGGAGATATTCGTGAAGACAATAATGGCACGTATTGAGTGATTGCAATTGTATGCGATACCATCGTCTTGAGACTAATTTTCATAGATATAAATTTTCGGTTTTGTACTCATTGTGCAATTATCAATGATTATTATATATTTTTATAACTAAGACATTAAGTAGATCCCATTTAAAGATCTTTAATTAGAAATATTTAAATATGTAAGAAAACAACCTAATAAAAGGTTTATTAACTGTTATGTAAATGTATAAAATTAATGTTTATCCTGCATAAAAACAAGCGTCGAGAGAACCACTTCTATACAGTTCTTACCATACTTTTCAATAAAGAAATAATATTTTATTTAAATGTTATTTTGTTCATTAATAATTATGACAAAATTCTATTCATAATCAATTATTATTAAAATATTTACAAACAAATACCGTTTAAAATGTAAAAAAGCCTGTCTCTACTGTTCAAACATCTTAATCGCATCAGTGGCCTACAGTGGAAAAACTGTGTAAAACAAAACATATAATTTTATAAGTATAATAAGTTATATTAGATTTATTAAAATATATACATAAAAAAAGCTCAGTTCTTAGAAGCGGTCGTTGCGCTAATCATACAAAAACAAGATAGTTGTAAGATTCGTTGTTTAACGTATAACATTAAAACTTAACGTGAGAAGTACTGGTATGTGATCTGACGTTAATTCTGTAAGTTCTAATACTTCGATATAATTATAAGATTTACCTTTCATAATAAAGAAGTCAAGCAGGTCGGGAATCTTGTTCGGATCAGTGGGCCAATACGTTGGCTTACTTGTAGTGATGATTTCTGCATTGATGTTTTTTGCAACTTTTAACAAGGCTCGTCCCTTTTGGGTGATCAGTCTTGATTCCCAGTGAGTATGCTTGGCATTATAATCATCTCCAACAATGAATCTAGAACCCAACGTATGGAAAAATTCAGCGAACTTAATTTCATCTGCACCTCCTAGCGGTAGACAATAAATTTCGGCAACGGTGAGATCGTTATTCCCGTCATTAACGCTGACGCTTTTCGCTTGTATATGATTTACAGAGTATTTTTCGAGTTCATAGTGTTTTATGGACTCTTTTATTAATACAGCAGTACAACCCTGAGCTTTACCACTAGGATGAATTGTCGTATATATTCTGTAATTCCTTATCTTAAAAAAGGTCCACGCTGTGATGTGAATTTCCGAAATAAGCGCTATGTCAATGTTTTCACTGTGTAAAAGGTCTTCAAATTCTTGTCTGCGCTAAATTAACCCAATGACGTTCCATGCAATGATCCGCAGTGTACATTTCTTTATATTCTGAGAGTCATTTTTGGACTTTGTCAGGTTTATTTCTAGTTTATTCATTCTTGCTGTGATATTTGCTAGTGTCTGCGTTACGTTTGTTAACGCGACTAGAATATCATTAAGAGTAATCGATTCTTCGTTTCCTTTTGGTTGAGATATTTTTGGATAGACTTTTGAAGTGCTAGCCATTTGCGGGTATGCAACATTTGCTGTTACAGGTTTCTGCTGTATTCTTTGTACAGTAGAGACTTGTTTTGGGGGTGCTCTTTCTATTGCTTTATTGTAAGCAGAGCAACCTTTCCAGTTGGCTGTGTAATTTTCACCACAGTTTGGACATTTTGCTTTTGTCTTTTTAGATTTTGGGCAATCTTCGGTTCTGTGTCCTTCACTATACTTCACGTATACAGCTGATTTGTGCTTGGCAGTTCTTATTCGATACTTCTTTTTTTTACGTGGTGGTTCTATTTTTATTATCTGATGACATAGTTGTTTTATGTTGTAAATGTCTTTATTATTCTTCCGTGGTTTTAAATCTACAAAGAATAATAGTAGCCTAATAGATGTCCACTCGCTGTTTTTGTTTTTAGGATCAGATTTTTTCTTGATCCGTATATTGGTTATTTCACTTACTTCGTGGCCTTGGTCATACAGTTCATTGGTAATTATTCCCATATCGGAATCATGATTTATACCTCGTAATACTACTCAAAATGGATTTTCACTTTTTAATTGATACTGATGGTATTCAAGTTTATTTTCTTCTAATATTTTTATTGTACTTCTGAATTGACTTTCGTTTGTTGTTAAGATTCTCGTCTCGCCATTTGATAGGACTTTGAATTTTTGTTCGTTTCCTACAGATTCTTCTCCCGTTAATAATTGTTTTAATTTATCAAACTGTTTAATACCTTTAATAGTTATTGATGGGAGCTTATATATTTTTTAGTATTATCATTAGTCGGGGTTTTGTTACTTTTTTGTTTAGCTTTTGAAGTTACGTTAACATATTTTGAAACTGGTATGTTAGAAATGGGGGTCGTTTTTTCTAAGTTGTTATCTATTTTTGTAATTAATTGTGACTTTTTAGCTGCCAGTACCCATTCACTATTTTTTATTTGTAGTAATTTTTGACTTGCTTGTAATTATGCTACTTGACAGTGGAGTTGTTTGTTGGTGTGTTTTAATTCGGTTAAAATATTTTGCATTTCCGTGTAGGTCGGCAGATCTGGTTGTATAGGTCCGTCCATGGCTGTGCGTGTCACGTGACGGTGGGAACCACCGGTACGCCGTTGCACGAGCGTATGGCTTACTTAATATTATTATGTAGACATTTACCAATTTCCGATGAACGTGGTAAGCATTTTGATGTTATTAAATTACTAAATAAAAAAAAAACACGAATAACGGCACTCGGAAGCGAAAGCATACGTGTTGTTCGTTCAGCAAACAAATTTCGACTATTGTACATATTTCTAATTTGTCTATATTAAATTAGCGAGAGTAGCATAATACATATGTAAGTTGTTGGCTCAATTTTCTGTAGACCAAAATTGTATACAACAAAATAGTTATACATTACATATTACAAAACAGCTTTTTTCGTGAGGGGTGCAGTTAGAGGAGGTGACAATATATGGCGCTGGGGTGCAAAATTTCCAAATGCAGCTCTGAATAAAGCTATTAAATGTTCAAGCATTTCTGTTTGGTCTAACACGGATGCCTACCGAATAAGTATTACGTAAACAACTCACATAATTAAAATTTATTTAAATAGCTTAAGTATTTTAAAATTTGTATTAAGTCTATAAGAGCCAAATTTAGTTTTTATGTTTAAATTTAAATCTCTACAAATACTTTTAACTGAATTACAAAAAATCAAAATAGTCCCGTTATTTCTACGTATTTTTCAGTTTTGCTCATTTATTAAAAAAATTACAAAGAATATCAAAAAACTACTTTCTTAGTTGCCTACTAGATTAAAAGTTTAACGAAAGAATGTCTCCTGTTTATTTTTTATTGGAACAATTATTTTTGTAGCAAACCTAAAATATGATTTCATTATTTTTAATTTTTCGGTTTTTTTTTTTTGTTTTCCTAATGAAAAATGATTTATGTGTTAAAAACTACTTTTTCAATCGTGTATTTCTACATTTGTATTAAATGGCACAAAATCGAACTTTTATCATTTTCGATTTAAGCAATATTTCTGGTAGAAAACATAAGTTGCATAAATTAAAAAAAAAAACACACATCATTTGAAAACCAATTCATACCACTCTTTACTAAGAATCTAAAATAAAATTGTTTAATAATATTGTGTTTTCTAAAATTATTAATTTAATTTATTGATTATTGTTTATTAGATAACGTACGTGACTGCGGGCTTCATGTTAGCCGAACTGTTTGACTTCACTGCAGACTTCACCGAACGTGAAACTGTACAGCGAATTATTGAAATTATTGTATTCTAAGGTAGGTAAACTTAAAACATATTGTATATTTGTGCGTGTTTTGACGGTGCAGCAGTTTTCAGTTGGTACATAATTTGCTGGCTTGCTTTATATTATTGTTGCTTGCTGAAAACAGTAGGTTATAGAGGGAAATTTAATTTATATCTAACGAAGAGCGATTCGGAGAGAAGTTCGGTTATATATGTCTTGACAAATCGTAATATTTACGATATAAAAATAATAAATTTCTTATTAAAACCCGCCAGGAAATCAAAAATAAACTTTATATGTTTTCTTTTAGAAAAAGTGCAACAGATTAAAATCAGAGGAAAATTGTTGGTGGAAAAGATATTCATAGAGAAAAAAATAAAAATAAATACAATTGTAAAGCCAATACATCCCTCGCTCAGCTCAGAGTCTAAAATGTATTAATGTTATAGAAGTACTCAAACATTTTCTCTAAATTTCGAAAAATATTTCCTTACAAGACAATTTTACTTTTGGCATTTTAATATAAAACACGAATATACTATCGCTGAGTACGGTGATAAAAAAACTAAACCATTACAAGTTTTTCACAATTAAGGATTATCTCTGCAGTATCGTCAGGAACTTCATCTTATAGCGAGCTCTATCGATAAACAATAATTATCGATTAGCTAATTAGTCAACAAATCAACGATATATGGGTGAATACAAATTTAAAAGTAATCGAAATGAATATCCTTGTTAGATATACTTGTTAGACTAGTATTATTAACTTAAAACTATATTATAACTATGAACTATACGTCATAATAAACAAAACCATTCTGAACGTGTAAAAATATGAAAACTCGAATTGCGCGTGCCAAAATATTAGGCAGATATTCGAAATTGCCTATAGACACACTTTTTAATGTAATGAATAAAACCACGAAAATTCATATAACTCCGGGCCTTAGTAATAGCAAATAAGTTTGCTGCACAATATTTTCGAGTCGAAATGTGATGGCGGGTTACGCGTCAGTATTGGCGGTGGTTTAGCCCACGGATGCCGTAGTAAACCGTCCATATCAAACGAGTTTGCCGGCTAGGCTGTACATGCCGAGGTTACCAAGGGTGTTTGAAAACTGACGCACCTAAACACGCATTTTGCGATTACACGACACGATTATATCCAATTACAATATTTAGCTGATGTATTCGATTTTCAGGTGAATTACCAGTATCGGTGCGCCCCAGGAACGCCCGTCTACAAAACTGAGAAGGCCGACCGATAAAAATGATTCCCAGTCTAATGAAACTGGCGTACTTTTCGTGCACCCCGGAAGAACTAAAGCGTTTCATTCCGGACAGCATCCACAAGAAAGTCAATGGACAGTTGTGCTGTACCCAAATATATGCAAAGCCGTCCACGGGTTGGTGTACGAGCGACGAAGAATTTGTTTTTAGTGAACAGCCAGATTTCCTGTGTATGTTGGCCGCTACTAATGGGCACTTGGACTGCCTGCATTTGGCGACCAATTCGAAAAACCACATGTGGAGTCACAAAGTGTGGATAGGCGCGGCGCGCAACGGTCATCTTGAATGCATGAAATACATACCGCCTTATCCCGGCATATGGAGCAGGAAAATGTGCCGTGTGGCGGCGAGTCACGGCCAATTAGAGTGTATGCAGTACGCCTGGGAGCTCGACTATCATTGGAAAGGAAAGAAGATGATGAAATACGCGGCGAAAGGCGGCAACGTGGATTGCGTGAAGTATGCGCGCTTCAAGGGTTGCGCATGGGATGAAACAACAATTGCCATTGCCGCGCGTAACGGCCGGCTGGAGTGTATGGCGTACCTGCACACCAACGGTTGCCCTTGGGACGAGCGCACGTGTAGCGCAGCTGCGGGATCCGGCCAACTGAGTTGTTTGGAATACGCGTTGGCACAGGGGTGTCCGATGAACCTGGACACGGGCGTGGAAGCGGCGAGAAATGGCCACGTGGACTGTTTGCGTTTGGCATTGGCGCACGGATGTCCGCTGGTGGTGGAGTTGACGATGGCCGCCATGAGCTCCGGGCAACTTCAATCCTATATCATGTTGATGGTAAAGGGTTGTCCCTCTGCTACCTAAAAACAAAAAACAAAGCAGCTTTAAAAATATTTCATTACCGTTTTTTTAACCCAAAATCAAATACTATTTTAAATTAAAAATTAAATAATTTCAAAATAAATAAATAATCATCTACACTTTTTGAACGTTAAATCGTTCAGTTGATTTTCGCGCGACATCGACATAGTAACATACCCTTATAATAAACATTAGTGGAGCGGCGTGATGTATCCAGTGGTGTAAGCCTTAGCCAAAATTATATATAATTACCTACCTATCTTACCCTTAACTCCATCTATTTTAACTACATTTTTTAACTTACATTTTAATACCGCCAAAAATGATTTAAATAATAATAAACCGTAGCTCTTAAATAACTACTGCTAACGAGTAATAATAATAATTTGAACTGTTTGGATGTCGATGAGAGAAAATACTAAGTAAAGTTAAAACCGGAAAATATTACATGACCATTTATTTTAACACGAAATTGAATACATTTTTAAATCAAATCATTAAATAACTATTTTGATTGATAATAATCTACACATTTTGAACGTTTAAATCGTTCAGTGGCTTTTTGTCCGACGGTTGCGTAATATCATTACCCCAAAATATACCTCAGTGGCGTGGCGTGAAATAGACAGTGATGTAAGCAATCGACAAAAATACTTCCATCCATTTTTAGTACCTTTAGAGATCCGCTTAGAGTTTCTATAATGCGCATACGATCGAAAATGATTTGAATAATAATTAACCATAGCTCCTAAATAAACACTACTATAGAGTAATAATAATATTTTGAACTGTTTGAAATGACAACAAGTGAATATGAATGATGAGAGTTCCAATATGGCGATGCCGTATACAGTCGTACAAACGCCTATAAGTTTAGTAAATAGCCGGCGAAATATAATATCATCCCTAGGTGATAAGAATGATCTCTGGAATTGTCGTTAATTTTAATATCGAAATCATGAAAAAGCGGGAAAAATAATTTTCTCTTCGAAATGATTCTAATAATATATAGGTTATTTAATGCACGATTCAGTCGCCAGTCACGTGGTATTAGTCTATACAAAATAGAGCAACAACTACTTACAACAGCCAACAACTTCTAAAATTCTAAGCTAAAATTCGATTTTTCTTATCACACAGAAGGAGCAGAACAGCATCGTACTATTGATATCACGATAATTTGTCGTGTAGCACATTATTAAAAATTGCTTGTGTGTCAACTCCTTATAGTCTATTTCAAAATTGGTTAAGTCATTCATTTCAAAATATACCTATAACATTTTACAACTGATTGTGTAATCAACGCAAACACTATTTATGTGCACGCCACGCCACCTAAATAGCTATATATACCTATACTAATGTATAAACCGATATGGGTTAAATTCAAATAAACAATAACATTGTTCGGAATATCGTTCCTTAAATTATTCAAATTACCGTGTGCTTAAAACCGGACAGTTTCAATGACCGGCCGCTAAAATCGATCAAAAATTGTTCATTTTTTTTTCCTCGTAGGCCACCTGTATTGTATAAAATACCATACTCATAGTATGATATAATTTTTTACGAAATATAACTCATATTGATTGATATAACANCGAATATTAGAAGTCAGCCACTGGCATACGGCAAATTAGGAAACCACAGTATTTTTTTATATCGTGTGTGTTGGTAAGACACAAACAATAAAAAATGCTAGCGTAGCGTCCTCTTAGAATAGCGGTTCGTTATAAACAAGACATTTTAATGTTCCGATTGCTGTGTAGTTTTTCGGAAAAATATTTCCCGTTAACGTTATTGTTCCACGCATTTTTATTCGTTCCATCTTTACCAAATATAACGACTTGGATTTAATCTAGAGATGGATATGAAATCCGCATATCCGGATTTAAATCAAATTCTTATGTCCATCACTAATTCAAACATAGTAGTCAACAACTAAAAATCTGTTTTAGTGTTTTACGGAGATTTTCCGTATACGTTTCGTTCATAATTCCTCAATAATAACCTTTCTTTTTTTTTTTGTAAACGAAAATCGTCAGTCTTCTAGAAGAAAGACAAAATAATAATTTTCACAGATGTAGGAAATGTTAAATAAAATATGTATTAATTAATTGAATCCGTGAAACGTCAATTGAATGTAACGATATTAATGCACAATACTGTCGCTTATCATTACACGATGTGAAAAAAAAAATGAAAAGTTGTTTTTAATTATTCGGTATGGCGTATCATTAAGTAAGTTAGTTAATTTTTGTAATAATTGAAAACTTTTAAATTAAAAATCTTTAGAAAAAAAAAGAAGAAAATTTTGAGCATAATTTATGTATTGCTTATTTTATGGTTTTTAAAAGCATAATTGATTGTATATTTAATTATATGAATAATTTGTATTTACGGAAATAGATTTTTTTTTTCTTAAGTATTTTAAGCTAATTTTAGGTTTTGTGCCGATTACTTTAGTTCCTATAGTTATATTCTATTCTAATACAATTGTAGTATTTACTCATAGGAAATTTTATTTTATTGTTATTATTTATTAGAATTTCTGTACTTTTCGTCGATTTATTGTATTGTTTATTGTTAACTATTGTTTTGCGAAAACGTTCTAGACGTAGATAAATACAACGCTTTGTTATATTTTATAATTTACAAAATCTTATTATATTTTATTTTTTAACGCGTACTTTGTAATGTTCTTAAATGCGTGTGTATTACGCGGGTCTACAAAACCCACCCAAAACTATCACTTAGAGAGTGTCGTGTTCTTCACGTACTCGAAATAGATTAGTTATGTGTATCTATGTGTGTTTTATTATATATAATATTTATATTTATCTTTTAAATAAAAAGTTTAAAAAAAAACAAAAAATGATCCAAGAATATAATAACCATAATGATTCTTCCTCAATTACTGAATAGTCACATCGAGACAAGTGTGGTTTCTTCTAAACGAATATAAAAACTAATGCATACAATTCGATTACAAAGGTGATGGATTGTTTATTATTATTGTTATTGTTTATTATAATTGTTTAATGTTTATTTACGTGAAAAATGCACTAGTTTACAGTTCATTTTAGTGAATAGTTTGAATAAACTGTTCTTAAAAGTTCACAAGTCCAATGGACTGTGGCCGGTTACATGTTCCAGGTGTGCATTTATAAACCCAAGCTTTACGTACATGAGCAATGCTGTAATATTTGCTGGTGCGACAAGAATCCCCACTTAGTATTTTTAGTACAACACCTGAGAATTGAGATCCAATGGCTTTACGAAAATACTATCACGCGTCATAGTATAGTACTCATTTTAAAAATTAAGTCAATGGTTAAGAAAAAATTCACAGGGCGCAGATACACTTAATTGTTAATTTATCAATATATTATATTGTAACATGATCATTTATCAGTAAAAAAAAATACATGGTTATCAATATTAGATCGGTATTTAATCACAGTTTAGAGATTTTCCGTATACGCATACGACACATACTACTTTAGTAAAACATAAATACATTTGTTACCAAGGGTTATATTTTGACTTTCCAAGACGTTTCTATAATAATTGAGAAAAACCGGAATAAACTTCTGAAAAACGAAAAAATTTACAAATTGTAACATGTTGTAAAAAAATTGTAACATTTTTGTTCTGTTATTTAGTTTAAAATATTCATAGAGACTTTAAATTTTGACAGAAAACATATAATTGCCTTTTATAGACGTAGTATAATTTTCAAAAACATTTCACCTATTTTTAAACTTATTATAGACATTTAAATTTTGCCAGTTTTTTTCGTAATAATCTTATTCTTATTCTCATTTAAAGGCTAAAATAAACATTTTTTTGTACGTATGCTACTTTAGGAATTTTTTTAACCTTTCCTCCCTTTAGTAGCCCATGCCATCTGAAAAAAAACCCGATCGCTTCGCGCTCTCATAAACTTATATTTCAATTTACATTTTTATCTCAACACAATTGCCATCTTTTATAATTGAATTTATCATAGAAGGACAAATTTAATGCCCTATTAATGTGTTTAATGTTCAATTACTCAAAATAATTTGAAATAAATAACTAAAATATCCTATTTATTATGAATATAAATAAAAATAATAATTAATATAATTATATATAATAATAATTAATATAATTATATATAATAATAAATAATAATAATATGATAATATATAATATATTTATATATAATTATATAAACTTTTTAATTTAAAACTTTTTATTTTAATTTTGATAATGTTATTTATATTATTTATATGTTATCTTTATTTTATATACATATTATTAAAATATTTTTATTCTATGTTATTTCGAAGAATTGACCTAGTGACTAGATTTTGGTTTCATGAAATTTAATATTAATTTCAACTTATTTATTATTTTGTTTATTACCATTTTTTAGACTTCAACCATTATAAAACAGCTGGATGAAAATTGAATCCACCCAATGTTGGCATAATCAGTTTTATGTAGAGCAGTCCTTGGTTGTGTGGAGATAATTGTGAACGGTCTGATGGTTTGATGACATTAGAGTAACTGATTTAATGTTCTACATCCGCACTGTGTAGTTTCATTTTAGATTTTGAGTGAAGCAAAGAAGCTTTATAGTTTTACAAAAATGTTTTTTTGTTTATACGTGTAAATTTTTTTACCAGAATTCTTGCTCGTATTTCTACGTCTAGCACTTTTACTGAAGGAAATTGGCATGGAGAGGTACTTTTAAAAGGGACATGTCTCGATTTTCTCAGGGGTTTTCTCATCGAATTTAAAAAACCGAAAAAAAAAACTGTAAAGTGTACGAAATATAATAAATATAATCTTATAATTTTTTTTCTTTGGACAACTTTTCTATCAGCAACTTTTCTTCTACTTTTAATGATAGCAAAGTTTCTAAAAAGAAATTTCACTAGCGAGATACTTTAAAGTTCATTTTTTTGTTTTTTTAGGAATTTTCCTGTCAACTTTGAAAAACTGAAAAAATA